TATATATATATATATACACACACACACACATACACACACACACACTGTTTACCGTAGTGTAAAATAGCATGCTTGTAGCTTAGTTTGGGTCTTCCAGTTGGACCCTTTGAGGTCCCTCTACAACACATCAGCCCACACCAGAACTCTGACATTTCAGTGTTTCCCATTCATGGGGCCCACCACAGTTTCATAATAAACCGAACATATATTTATACTTATAACATAAAAGTTCTTTAATGTTGTGTTTCACGCCATTGCTTTGGCAAATATCGGTCAAACGAATTAAATCCGAAAGCGTAATATGACTTATCAAGTCTGTTTGGGCTGCTTGTTTCAAATTGAAGCGATCGGCTCGTGATCCGGTGTTTTCCGCGTCTCTGAGCGGCTCCGTTCACAGTGAATGCAGTGAACTTCGTTATTGAATGTGCTGTGAGTTTAGCGCATTTGGGAACGCAACGGCCACCAGTTATACATAATTTGCACATTTGCATAATTTTCAACATTTTAATGGGCAAATGGTTACAGTATTTCATTAAATTAGTAATGTTTGTAAACCTGTTTTCACAGAAGCTGGAGTTTTCCGCCAAAATAAAAGTTCAACTGAAGTTTCCGCCAAAATAAAAGCTCAAGGGTTTATCTCTTGCAAGCATGGCCTAACATTAACAGACGCGCACAGAGAAAATACTGTACAGGTACAGCAAGCTCACTGTTCAGAAGAAAATATAAATATTGGGGTTGGGGTTTATATGAATGTATTTCTGAAGGGAACTGACTTCACAAAAGTTTCGATGGCATTTTTTCCCCTCTTATAATTGCTGATTCATAACCACCACCTGCTGTCAGAGAGTGCATTTGCGTTCTCATTCAGCCTGTCTGTTTTTGTTTCATGCAGGTTTTATCTTTGTATCTTTGTTTGTATCGTGATTAAAATGCAGTGGTTGGTTCTAATTTCAAATGGCTTTTTTTATTAAATATGTTTAGTTTTAGCAAAAACAGTTTAATGGCAAGGAAAAATATTTATGGCCGGTCAATTTTCTCAAGTCATTAGCCACTGGCAGATGTGAAAGTTAGTTTTAGGCCCTGCTTGCAAGTGTAGAAATGAGGACAAAAGTATTGCAATTTCCCTACTGTAGAGTAAGGTAAAATAATATACCTGAAAAAAAAAAAACATTTTCATTTATTTCACACTGCAATTGTTTTACAATATATGGCTATAACTGTCATAGGAATAATAATATAAAATTATTATTATTATTGTTTTATTCTAATTTGTTTGGCTTCCAAATTCACCAGTGAGACTGAGACACTATATCACAACTAAAAAGAGGGTTGAGTCTCCTTTAAATTTCAAGAACAAGTACATTCACCAGCTTTTTTCTTTTACTTTGCACACTGAACCTGTGTTGGAGCTCTTAATTTTGAACTCTCAAAGTGCACCAGATTTATGAATTTAACTTTAAAATGTACAAAATTTTCTTACGGGGGGGGTATACCCCGGACCCCCCAACAGGGATCGAGGACCACCCACCACAGTCTCACAAAATTCTGGGGAAAACACTGCATTTACTGACTGGTCAGTCACTCAGATAAATATATAAGTATATACAAAGACGTCAAGTAAAACAGAAAAAATAAAAAAGCCAAGATTTGGATTTAATAGTGGACTACTACCCACTAAAGTGTGCAGTTGAAGAAGGGCTGCAATTGAGACAGGGCCAGAGAAAGGCAGAGATCTTTAAATATTGCTACTATTTCTATCTTCTACTTTGTATATTAAAGTCTCTGTCTATCAGACTCTCGTTTTCACAGTCATTGCTTCCTCTTTTCTTCCTTTAATCTGATGGGCAGCAAAGGGGCCTCGTTTCAATGCCCCCCTTTTAAACTGGACCCCAGCTTCCATTCTCACATCAAACAATGTGCTTACGGGTATGAAAATGGCACCAACCCGGGCAGCATCTTAGTGTGTGTGTGTGTTGTATGTGACAGAAAGGATGCTGTAGACTGACATCCAAAGCACTGTGAGACATGCAGACAGGAAATCACACCTTTTGATATGAAGCAGGACGAAGCAGCATGCGAGAGACATACTTAGATGTGAGCTCAGCCCCGAAAAAAGCACAAAACGTGATCTAATTTTTGTCTTTCTGAGGAATCTCACACCTTGTTTTCGTCATGTTAATTCTGGCATTGGAAGACATAGTGCATAGATGTCTTCAAACTGACTAAATAAGACAAACGCACACTAAAAACAGGAGTACACAGGATGGACAAGTTTCTGCAAAGCGGTTTAAAACTGCAGGTGTCTGAGGAAGGGCGGGGTGCCACACACACACACACACACACATTCTGCCTTGCATGTTGGTGTGAGAATGGAAGAAAGGTTTTTGCTAGAAGGTTTTTTGTTGCCCGCTTGAGGGATGACAAAGGAAATATGTTTCGAAGGGCTGAACACCCACATGAACGTTCATGTCTTGCCACATTACACACAATTAACCTACTGAACAAGCTAATGAAGTTGCTAAATGTCTTCTCCT